GCCAGCACTGCCCGGGGCAGCTCAGCTTTGGTGCCTGTTTGAGCCCCGGGTTTGCGAGTCCAGCTCACCTCCTCCTGCTCCAGCTGGAAAGCGCGCTGGAAATTGTAGATGGCAGCTGAATTTGGCACAATGCTTCTCTTCAGCTTGGCGCCGCACACCACGATCCTGCCAGGGAGATGCAGGTGGTGGGTCCCGCTACTGCCACTGCGCTCAGCTGCTGGTGGCAAAAAAAAGGTCCTGGGGTGCCAGGGAGGGGGACGGCGGTGCTGTGGTGCTGCTCACCTGTCGTAGGCACAGTCTGACTTCCCCACGGTGGTGTCGGTGCTGTCCGGGATCAGCCACTTGAAGACATCGCTGGTGCGCAGGCGGATGGCCGACCAGTCGCTGGGCTGGACGTAGGCACAATCGGCATTGAAGTCCCCCAGGAACATGATGTTCTGTGGTGGGGAGATGAGGGGGCTTCGTGGGGGCTAGGGAACAGGGCTGCCCCTGACACTAGCCCCACCACGGGGGCGAGAACCCGCTTCAGGTCAGTCCTGGGTGCCAGGGCATCCCCTGTGGCAGGGGATGGGCAGGACCAGGGTCCCCACCCCACCACCCTTCCACCAGCCACATTCGCCTCGGAGTGGGGACCCTGTGTGAGTTGAACGGTCCTTGGGGCTCATTGCCCACCCTCGGTGCCACCCCTGGTGCTGGTGGCACTCACATCAGTCCCCCACTTGTTGACGATGGCCAGGTAGACATCGTAGAGCGCATCGATCTCGGCAACGGCATCTTGCGGGGCTGAGTGGAGCGGTACCAGCACAAACTCCTCCACCTCTGTCAGGGGAGAGGGATGTCAGCCCTGCAGCCAACCCATGCCACCACCCAGGACCACTTGCCCCCCAACATACTGGTGCGGGGTGCTGAGACCCTCAGGATGAATGGCTCCCGGCTGAAGACGTCCTGGGGGTCCTCATATTGGTAGGTGTCCATCACGGACACGACGTCTGGCCTGTGGGACCAAAGGGATGGTGACCCTGGGGCTTGGCATGGCCCCTGTGTCCCCTCCATGGTGTTGGTGGCCCCGGGGTGCTACGGGACAGGCGGCAGCATGCCCAGTCCCATTACCTGTAGATGAAGAGGTACATCTCCTTGTAGTTGTCCCGTCCCAAGGGGCCACTGATCTCGTAGTCGTACGGGGACATGGACATGCTGCAGAGATGCAAAAGCAGGATGGTGACACGGCTGGCACCAGTGACATGGCTGGTACCATCCTGGGGTGGCCTCTGCATGGCCAGGGGCTGTTGGCACCAGCTAGTCCTGCTCTTCTGTCCCCATGGGCCACCGTGCCCCGGCCGTGGGATGACATGGGATGTAGTGGCTCCGAGCCACCTCGCTGTCCCCATCACCCCAGGGTGGCTCCTCGGGCACAGCC